CCGGCGCCGGGTCCGTACAGCCCCGCCTCATTTCCCAGCTGGAAGGCTTCACGGAGTTTGTGTGCCCAGGCTGTGGGTGCGCGGGTTTTTCCCGCCGAGCCGTTGTAGCTCGGTGGCGGAATCGATCTGCTGAGAAGCGCGAGTGCCAGCTCGACACCTGGGGCTCTTGGAAAGGCGGCTTTCCAGTGCCGCTGCGTTCTGGCTTGGTGTAAGAGTACATTTAGAACTAGAAGAGCTGATATTTTAGTTTAATAATGTGGCTATAGTTTACAAGGAAGACCTTATTCTTACTGACAACTTCCAGTTTAAATGTGCTTCTAAAAAAAAGGAAGTTGTAAAAGTAAAGGTCCTTCTTTGAAATGCGCTTTATTTTAAATGAAAGTGGCAGGAGGGAAAAAATGCAGCGGTTGAAGCAGTCGAGGCAAAGTAATGCGAACCAGTGCCTCAGACTTGAACATCTGCGTACGTCCGTGGCGCGGTCGTCTGCTGGGCATGCCTCTGCTGCGTCGCTGTGAAACCGGCCAGTGGCGATCCCGGCGCCTTTGAAAGGTGTGGGAAAAGACGTGCGAAAGAGATGGAATGGCAAAGCCAGAAGATGTGATTGGCAGTGGGCAAAAGTCTGGGCGTTTGTTTTAATGCGTTTAACACAAAGTTCAGAATTAATCCTTGAAATGTAAAAGCTAAGATTTTTAGAGAGCACTGCTAGCTCTCTGACAGGAGTGCTGGTAGAAGAAGTTGTTACTAAACTTTTATTCTGATGTTTATTAAACTTTGATAACGTGCCTGCCTTTCAGGTGTGACATTCTACATCCTTTGTTGACGCACAGAGTATGAAGAATGTTTTTATAATGACAAGAGATCTGTTGTTTGCTTTCATTTCTGTATTAGATATGCAAGATGTATTCAACTGTTTTTCCTCAAAGCAGCTGAGAACAACTGGAATTCAAGATGAGAACCAACAAGGTGTACAAGCTCGTCATACATAAGAAGGGTTTTGGAGGCAGTGGTCAGTATCTCCTGGTTCATAACAGTGAGACCAGCACTCACTCACTTAACTGAAAGCAATTAACTGGTTTATTGGTCTTTTTAACAAAAAAGCAAAGATGGAACTTTGACGTAACAGGCAGTATTACCAGACAGAGTTTGGAAAGCTCTTTTTTTAATAGCAAGATAGAGCAGAATAAAATTGCGTTTGTCAGAACAGGACGAGATTGCACCTCTAAACTAAAATTGCTTTATTCTACCTCATCCCCTTTTGTTGCGTCCCTTTTCTTTTAACCTTGTGTTTCAGTTACCCTAAGAAGTGGCAGACATGTCAGTGACTCACGACTGCGTGTAGATGTGTCTCTGTGTTCTCAGAGCAATGTCATTTATTTGGTTGCTTTCTGCTGCTAGACTTAGAGTATGTTAATAAATCTGGTTAAGATTCTGTAGCTATCTACTTCCCGGCTGGTGTTTATGATACGGAAAATACAAAAGATGATTCTGCTTGCCTAATTAAGGCACACTCTTTTGCTGAACAAATCTTTTGTGAAAGTTCTGTCTTTGAAAAAAAAGTTTTAGCCCACAAGAGCAGCCAGACTGAAGTGGCCGGACAGGGGCACTGTCATGCAGTGAATATAGTTCGTTGCTGGTGTGTTAATCTGGGCTGGTGTATTTGTGTAAACTATTGCATACAGACGTGCAGGCACCTGTGTTTGGTATATATCTGTTCATTGCTGTTTTTCTCATTCATTTATGTCTTGTAGATGATGAACTGGTGGTGAATCCTAAAGTCTTTCTTCAAATCAAGCTGGGAGATGTTGTGGAAATTGCACATCCTAATGATGAATACAGGTGAATTCTCTTTACTGGTGTCAGTCAGGTGTGGTTAGAGTACTGAAAGAGCGTATTCATGTGCAGCGGCTTCTAGTGAGAGACTCTTAGAGCTGATATAACTCTGCTTCAGGGTGCTGCCGTGGTTTTTTTCTGCCTGGGAAAAAAGTAAAGGGGATAACTATAGCAGGAACTCTTTCTTAAATTTTATAGAATTCTTTGTGTTTGGTGTTAGCTTGCTGACCTTTCATAGGGCAAGTAGCACCTAAATATAGAATCTACAATGTCTTTATCCTCTTCATAGAGCTGCTGTTACCCAATGATTATTCTTCCATCCTATAGTATACCCTAGGCAAAATTAAAACGCAAAATTAAAACTTCTTCATCAGCTATGAAAACATAAACCTTCTTCTGTGAAGCTGTTCATCCTGCAACCCATATCTGAAAAGTAGCAGCATATTTGTATGAGGTTCTGAGAAGTTCCTGTGTGACTTACTTTCCTGTTTAGAGTATCATCTTTACCTAAGGAGTACCTTATAATAGGTGTAAAGAATAAGACAGGGTGACAGGCAGAGAGGATGAAGTATGAAGCTTTCTAGAAAATATTAATGATTCTCGTTAGCTTATCCCATGCTCCAAGTTACTAAATAGTTTTGAGAGAGTGATTTACCAGAGTAGACTGTTGGTATCTCAACTTGTCAACCATTTTTCTTTTTTGCTTGCTAGTCCCCTCCTTCTACAAGTGAAGTCACTTAAGGAAGATTTGCAGAAAGGTAAAACTCTAGACTCACAGTATGCATAGTAAAATCATAACAAAGATTATGTGATTTGGCTGTATCTGTGATTGACTAATACAAATATTTTAACTTTGTAAGAAAACCAATACTTTGTCTATTTAGGGATGGAAGGATTATAATTTTATCAGAAAATGAATAGCTAGTTTTAAATCTGCTTTTGGTTGAGTAATATGGGATATGGTTTAAACAAAATTGAATTTTTATTTCTGCATTCTCTGACTAGCTTTAATTCAGTCTAAACTTTGTGTTTATCTTGCCTGCTTTGATTTGAATGACTCTTAAATTGGGCCACAGCTGGAAGAAGCTGTTGTCTTTTTCTGAGGCCCTAAGTGTTTCACCACAGACTCACTGTGTTGCTTTTACGTTTGTAAACCACTTGAAACCTTTTAGAGATGTTCACTTTTCTGTTGTCCTTTCTCGTGTTTGTGGCAGAAACTATAAGTGTGGATCAGACAGTTGCACAAGTGTTCCGACTGCGACCATACCAGGATGTCCATGTGAATGTTGTTGACCCAAAGGTCTGTGGCTTTGCAACTTTTTTTCCATCTGTCCCTTCACTTAGCTCAAATCAGAGCCCTGTGAATTTCCGTCCACAGTAGTATTGGGGAAAAAAAGGCATTTATTTTTTATTGAAAGATGTTTAACCTTCTTTCTGAAGAAAATGAGGCTTGGGCATTTGAACTGTTTGTTATGTGTCTCTGCCTTCTCTCCATGCCATCCCTGCTCTATTTTTGAAGTCTATGGACTAGCTTCAACACAGCTTGGTAGAAATTTAGAAATTTCAAATATCTTTAAATTCCAGAAATTCAGCATAAGTGGGCAGAGTAAAGAGCGGTAAGTGGCCTAGTCAGAAGAAGAGTCGTGGCATGGATTTCTGTTGTTTGACACCAGAGAGCCTTGTAAGAGAGGCATCTCTTGTAAATGTCCC